AAATAAATAAAATAAAAATACATTCAACCAAATAGTCCTCACAGTTCAGTCTTTATCTATGAATCTGCCTACTCACTAAAATTTATTTGTAACCCCCAAATCAATATTTGTGGTACTTTCAAATCAAAATTCATGGAGGTGTACAGAGTGGTAAGAATATTGAGTTGCTGGACACACACTAAACAAAGCTTTATTGTGATGCAGTTAATGCTACTTTTTTTCATTTGTGTACATTTTGTTGGGTCCCCAAGTATAGTACTGAGGTGCTTTCTAGTGTTGCTAAGTGCAAGAACTATGGGAGGTGTTGGATAAGGTTCAGTCAGGCACAAATCACAGTGCTGTTGGCCCTGAGTTCACTGTTAATGAATCAACAATATTATGTCAAGTAAGTTGTCTCTAAACAGAAACACACATAAAACAAGTGATCAGTTATATATTGATTGGTTGAACAAAATGTGACCAGAGGCTTGCAGGAACCTAACCCTGTATTTCCCCTAGAAGCAATGGTTTAACATTCACTAATTCAGTATTCAAGGCACTGCACTCCAGCCTGGGCGACAAGAGCAAAACTCTATCTCAAAGAAAAAAAAAAAATCACAAATATATATACATACACATACTAATAACTCCCAACTTTTCCACTCTAGCCCAAACTTCCTTCTCTGAATTCCAGCTTTGTATATCCAAGGGCCTAGTCAACATCTCCACTTGGATCTTGAATAGGCATCTTAAAACGTAACATGTTGGACAGGCATGGTGCCTCACGCCTGTAATCCCAACACTTTGGGAAGCCAAGGAGGGTGGACTGCTTGAGCCCAGGAGTTTAAGACCAGCCTGAACAACACGGCAAAACCCCATCTCCACTAAAAATAAGAAAATTAGTTGGATGTGGTGGCACGCCTTTGTAGTCCTGGCTACCTGGGAGGCTGAGGTGGGAGGATCACCTAAGCTTAGGAGGTCAAGGCTGCAGTGAGCTGTAATCCGACCACTGCACTCCAACATAGGCAAGAGACTCTGTCTCAGGGAAAAAAAAAAAAAAAAAAGAAAACACACACACACAAGAGAGAAACATGTCTAAAATTAAACACCAGTTTGCCTCCAACTCACCAACCTCATCCTCCCACATTCTTCTATTTCTTGCATGCCCACATCAAATCAATCCATCAGCAAACCCCATCAACTCTCTTCAAACATATCTAGCCTACACCACCACCATCTTTTGCCTGGCTTAGTACAGCAGAATCCGGACTGGCCTGCTTCCATCCTTGCTGTATAGTCTCAACATGGCAGCCAGGACAGCCTTTGGGAACCTAAGTAAGATCTCAGGCTTCCTCTGCTCAGCTCTCCAATGCCCCCTCACCCCATCTGGCTTAGAAGTAAAAAACTAGCTTTTACTGTACATCAACCATGTCAACTACTTCAACCACATTTATGTCCTTTAACTAATTTAATGATCACAGCAGCCCCGTGGGACAAGTATTATTATCTCCACTACACAGATGAGGACCCTTAGGGCCATTAAGTAGCTCACTCAAGATCTCACAGCTAGTGGCTGGGCACAGTGGCTCACACCTATAATCCCAATACTTTGGGAGGCCAAGGCAGGATTGCTTGAGGCCAGGAGTTCAAAACATAAAAAAATTGCTGGGTGTGGTGGCTCATGCCTGTACTCCCAGCACTTTGGGAGGCCGAGGCAGGTGGATCACCTGAGGTCAGGAGTTCGAGACCAGCCTGACCAACATGGATAAACCCCGTCTCTACTAAAAAAAATACAAAATTAGCCGGGCATGGTGGTGCATGCCTGTAATCCCAGCTACTCGGGAGGCTTGAGGCAGGAGAATCGCTTGAGCTGAGGAAGCGGAGGTTGCTGTGAGCTGAGATCGTGCCATTGCACTCCAGCCTGGGCAACAGAGTGAGACTGTCTCAAATAAATAAAATAAAAATACATTCAACCAAATAGTCCTCACAGTTCAGTCTTTATCTATGAATCTGCCTACTCACTAAAATTTATTTGTAACCC